TTTTTTTTTCATTATAAATTAATTAGTGGCAATTAATGGCCTAATAAGCATCAATTAACACTAAAATTATTAATAGTATCAATTAGTATAATTTTTTTCATTTTTTCATTACAAATTAATTAGTGTCAATTAATGGCTTAATTAGCATCAATTAATACTAAAATTATTAATAGTACCAATTAGTATAAAAAAATTTCATTATAAAATAATTGGTGTCAAGTAATGGGCTAGTATCAATTAACACTAAAATTATTAATAGTACCAATTAGTATTTTTTTTTTTCATTTTTTCATTATAAATTAATTAGTGGCAATTAATGGCCTAATAAGCATCAATTACTACTAAAATTATTCATAGTATCAATTAGTATAATTTTTTTCATTTTTTCATTATAAACGAATTAGTGTCAATTAATGGCTTAATTAGCAGTAATTAATACTAAAATTATTAATAGTATCAATTAGTATAAATTTTTTTTCATTATAAATTAATTAGTGTCAATTAATGGCTTAATTAGCATCAATTATTATTTTTTTATTAAAAAAACACTGAAAACCTCCACATAAAAAATAAAAAAAAAAAATTGAAAACCCTTAGCTCTGGCGGGCACAACGGTGACGAACCGGCGCTAGGGTTTAAGATTGATCCACAGAGAGAGAGAGAGAGAGAGCCGTTGAAAGAACAACGCCGAATTATCACCAAAGGCTGCCTCTTTCTTCTCCACTGGCGAAGAGATCGCAAAGAAAGCAATTGCAGAAGAGATTGACCGCACTAGGGTTTGATATCATCACCTGTTGCGTTAGGGTTTTAGATCGTCACCGGTGGATCTAGGGTTTAAGATTGATCGCGCAAGGGTTTCAGATCATGCTAGGGTTTGAGATTGATCGTGCTAGGTTTTTAGATCGTCACCGGCGACTCCAGGGTTTAAGATTGATCGCGACGATTAGGGTTTTGCCCCTCAATTGTGATCGCGATGGCAAAAAATCGATTGAGAGAGAGAGAGAAAAGAGGTGTGGTATTTGGATACTAGAAATCGCCCGAAGCCGTAACCCTTGCCGAAAATCGCCACCCTCGCCGGAAATCACCACTCTCTCTCTCTCTCTCTCTCTTAGAGTGAAGAGTGTGAGAGTGTGGTTTATATACGGGGTATTTGGTAATACCGAAATTTGATAAGGGGTATTTAAGTAATTTTGTCCCTCCAAACCAACTTCCTACTTAAGCTATAATCTCCAAAGCACCCCCTCAACCACTTCAAGAAAAAACTATTTTTCTACTTAATTTAAGCTATAATCTGATGAGTTAAGCTGCACCAAACACAATGTTTTAACTTAAATTAAACTAAAAGTTAAAATAAGCAGCTTTTAAGCTACGTCAAACACCCACTATGGTTAGATGCCTAAATGCTTCTTTACTAAGCCGGCTTAGAAAAAAAGCATCTTATGACCAAGTTAATTTTTAGTCTGAAATAGCATTGCTGGGAACACACCTCCTATATGCATAGGGAACAGTTTAGTGGCTAGCTTGCGATGTGTCATTATGTGTACCCAATCTCCAATTATTGCTTGATGTGAAAAAGAGAAGATTGTGATACATTAAGCAAATTTTGAGTATCTAATAATTTTTCAATTTTGAGATGTCACTAGATTTTGATTTGTTGAGGATCCAAACAGGAAAACAAACAAATTTCTCACTTTACGCATTTGATTTTTCAAAAAAAGAAAACAAAAAATCAATGCAATCGTCTTGTCATCTTTCTTTGCAACAGTCACTATATTATTTGACACATCTTCTTTTGCTCTCTTCCCTCCCATACCGTGCAGATTTCAAACCCTAATTTTAAAATTTAAAAAAAAAATGTAGATTAATTACAAAGAGAGGTCACATCTTTCATGACACTCATGGATAGAAAAGCTTTGCAAATAGAAGCTCATTCCAAGTATCTTGGACGCCAGGCAAGCACCAATGCACGCAGTCAGCGTAGCTAACCGGGTTGGCGAGCTGTTCGGGTGTCAAAGGACCCCATTGCTTCTTGTAAATGGAAGTGTGGGCATCTTTTCTGTAGCTTGAGAGCTGTGTGATGTTGAGAAATGTAATGGGTACTTTGGATTTGCTGAACACTTCTCCAATCACTTGCATTATGGATTTTCTTGAGTCTGATCCCCAGTATGTTGGGTCTTCTATCATGGTTGTTTGGTTGTAGCAATTTCCATTTGAATCATCTCCCCAATCTATGCTCCTGCATACATGCCAAACATAAAAAAGATCTATCCTTAAATAGTGATCTTGTGAAACTTTCTACAGATTATTTTATGGTTTGATAATATAATATAAATAATAAAATTATTCCTCTTTTTCTCTTTAGTAATTTAATCTTTTAGATGAGTTAATGGTCAATAATTATAATATCAGACTAAAAAACAAATCTTAAAACAAGTTATATATGAAGAGACGTGTTTAAAATATAATATAAATTTACATGAGAAAATGTGTTGGAAATAAATATAATTTTTAATGTAAGAGAGAGTAATGGGGGACCTAAAGACGATTTATTTTATTTTTTTGCTGCATGGGAGACTGTAATATAAGAATGTGGTAAAATTTAAACTTTGACTTTTAAGGAATCAGCTTTTAAGTTGCCTTTTAAGTATGTTGTCAACTCAACAGGTTCTAAATAATTTACTAAGATTGTCTCCAGTGCATTAAATAAATTGTCTCTAGTGTCTCCGGATCTAGTCTAGTTGGTTATTATATCTTCTTTAAATTTTAATTTTAAAGAGATTATGGATTCAATTTTTTTTAGGGGGTTGAATTAAAAAAGTGTAAGCACTTTAAGTGCTTTATTAAGGATGGAGAAATTTTCTTCCATAAATGCTAACCTAACAACCAACATTTACCCATAAAAAATAAAAAAAAAAGATTGAATAGTATTTTTGGGACTCATTATAAGTCTTGCTTTGAATATTTAAATTGTTTACGTTTTAGGACACTTTATGTAGTGTATTTAGAATAAAAAATAAAAAATAAATTCATATTTATAGTTGTATAATTTTATTATATTTGTCTTAAAAAAAAAAGTAAGGTCTGTTTCGAAATCATTCTTGTCATTTACTTTTTTTAAAGACAAATGTAATAAAATTATATAGCAACGTATATCAAATAATCCCTTTATTTTTTGTATGAATCATCCACATAAAGTGACCTAAACAATGAATGGTTCACATGTTTGAAAACTAACTCATAGTGAACCCTATGGGTCCTAACAGTGTAGTCTAATACTGAACAAAACCCAATTTCTTAATTTAAAACACAAATTACTTAGTTTTTTTTAGAGAAAATTGGTGAAAACTCCATCATAAAGACTATAAGGCATAGGATCTAAGGAAAAATATTATTTGGTGATAAGAACACATTGAAAAAGTTGTCAGAAAAAGTCACCGGCGCCAAAAAAGTTGCCAAAAAATTCCTCCGGAGCTGGAAAAGTCACCTACAGCGGTGACCGACAACCAACGACAATAGGTGGTGGTGGTGAGATAGAGAAATGTGTAATATTCAATAGATAGGTGTTGAATAAGTGGTATGTATCACATGAATTTCAACAGATAAAAAAATAAGTTTGGTGAATTTCAACAGATAAGAAAATAAGCTTGGTGAATTTTCAACAAGTAGTGCTTTTTTAGACAAATTATGTTCTTTTGGCCCAAAGAAATTAGAACTTAGGCCCAGCAGCCCAAAAAATTCAAAAATAAACCTATGGCCTAATACCCTTTTTTGTAATACATTAAATGTGATCAACTATTCTATGCGTCCTAATATAATAAAGGTGATCACTTAAGGAAGGTCATTTTCCCTCGCTCCACATCTGCATCTCCTTTTCCTACCTAGTGTTGTATCGTATGGATTTTTCTTGCCCCAATTAAGAAGTGGGTCAAAGACTGGTTTTACTTCCTCTACCCTGTTCTACCTGAACACCGCCCCTATTATAGTTATTTAATATATTTATATGTATATAATTTAATATAATTTTTTTTCATTATAATAAAATTAAAACACTAAAACATTATACCTAATATTAATTTTACTATATTATACTTATAATAAAACTCTAAAATATTATACTATAATAAAATTAAGAAGTCGTTATTCTAACTCTATTTTACTCTAAATACACCCTTTTATCCTTATTATACATAGTTACATTAATATCCTTTCACACAAATATACTTCCTGAAAAAATCAAAATTCCAAAGGTATTAATGTAACTATGTATAATAAAAGACAAATAAGGAAATGTATTTAGAGCAAAATAGAGTGAGAATAGCGACTCCCTAAAATTAAAACACTAAAATCTTATAATTCTCATTAAATATAAATTATTATCCTTAAGCCGCTATTCTCACTCTACTTTGCTCTAAATACACTCCATTCTTTGTTCTTATTATGCGTAGTTACATTAATACATTTCACACAAAATACACTCCCCCAAAAAATCAAAATTCCAAGGATATTAATATAACTATGCATAATAAGGAAAAAAAAAAAGAAAAAAAAAAAGAGAATGTATTTGGAGCAAAATAGAGTGAGAATAGCGGCTCCCTAATACAAGGTGAAGTCAAATTACTATAAATTCGTCCCAAAACCCTTTGTCAAAGATGGGGAGATTTTCTTTCATAAGTGCTAATCTAACAACTAACAACTAACATTTGCCGATAAAAAAAAAAAAAATTAAATAGTATTTTGGGGACTCATTATAAGTCTTGCTTTGAATATTTAAATTGTTTACGTTTTAGGACACCTTATGTAGAGTATTTAGAATAAAAAATAAAAAATAAAAAATAAAAAATAAATTCATATTTAAAGTTGTATAATTTTATTACATTTGTTTTCAAAAAAAAAAATGTAAGGTTTGTTTTCGAAATCATTCTTGTCATTTACTTTTTTTTAAAGGCAAATGTAATAAAATTATATAGCAACGTATATCCAATCAACCCTTTGTTTTTTGTGTGAATCATCACATAAAGTGACCTAAACAATGGTTCAAATGTTTGAAAACTAACTCATAGTGAATCCTATGGGTCCTAACAGTGTAGTCTAATACTGAACAAAACCCAATTTCTTAATTTAAATCACAAATTACTTAGTTCTTTTTAGAGAAAATAGGTGAAAAGTCCATCCTAAAGACTATAAGGCATTAGATCTAAGGAAAAATATTATTTGATGATAAGAACACATTGAAAAAGTTGTCAGAAAAAGTCACTAGCGCCAAAAAAGTTGCCAAAAAATTCCTCGGGAGCTGGAAAAGTCACCTACAGCGGTGACCGACAACCAACGGCAATAGGTGGTGGTGGTGAGATAGAGAAATGTGTAATATTCAATAGATAGGTGTTGAATAAGTGGTATGTATCACATGAATTTCAACAGATAGAAAAATAAATTTGGTGAATTTCAACAGATAAGAAAATAAGCTTGGTGAATTTTCAACAAGTAGTGCTTTTTTAGACAAATTATGTTCTTTTGGCCCAAAGAAATTAGAACTTAGGCCCAGCAGCCCAAAAAATTCAAAAATAAACCTATGGCCTAATACCCTTTTTTGTAATACATTAAATGTGATCAACTATTCTATGCGTCCTAATATAATAAAGGTGATCACTTAAGGAAGGTCATTTTCCCTCGCTCCACATCTGCATCTCCTTTTCCTACCTAGTGTTGTATCGTATGGATTTTTCTTGCCCCAATTAAGAAGTGGGTCAAAGACTGGTTTTACTTCCTCTACCCTGTTCTACCTGAACACCGCCCCTATTATAGTTATTTAATATATTTATATGTATATAATTTAATATAAATTTTTTTCATTATAATAAAATTAAAACACTAAAACATTATACCTAATATTAATTTTACTATATTATACTTACAATAAAACACTAAAATATTATACTATAATAAAATTAAGAAGTCGTTATTCTCACTCTATTTTACTCTAAATATACTCTTTTATCCTTATTATACATAGTTACATTAATATCCTTTCACACAAATATACTTCCTAAAAAAATCAACATTCCAAAGGTATTAATGTAATTATGTATAATAAAAGACAAATAAGGAAATGTATTTAGAGCAAAATAGAGTGAGAATAGCGACTCCCTAAAATTAAAACACTAAAATCTTATAATTCTCATTAAATATAAATTATTATCCTTAAGCCGCTATTCTCACTCTACTTTGCTCTAAATACACTCCATTCTTTGTTCTTATTATGCGTAGTTACATTAATACATTTCACACAAAATACACTCCCCCAAAAAATCAAAATTCCAAGGATATTAATATAACTATGCATAATAAGGAAAAAAAAAAGAAAAAAAAAAAAGAGTGTATTTGGAGCAAAATAGAGTGACAATAGTGGCTCCCTAATACAAGGTGAAGTCAAATTACTATAAATTCGTCCCAAAACCCGGCCGGTGACACATTTTGTAAATTTCCCTCAATATAAGTGAGCTGTATCTGATTTTATAATGAAATTATTTGTATTTAAATTATTATTATTTTTGAAATAATAAGATGAGAAGAATGAGTCTTGCATGTGACAAGCCTTAAATTAGGTTTGGGTCGCTAATTCTAATAGGGTAATTACTTACTTTTGATGAGAAGGAGACATGCTGGTGAAGAAGACTCTAGTCTTCTTAGGATCCATGTTCTTCTTAACCCATCTCAACATACTCTTCATTCCCATTCTATATGCATCCTCTGTTGATAGCTCCACTATATCCTTATCTTCATCATCAAAAGAGCCTTGTCTGTATTTACAAGATATATATAATTAACCCATAATGAGGACTATAAAACAAATTAAGTTGATTGAGAAAACAGAGTAATGAAGAATTAATTACATACAAGATCTTGAACTTGATGCCAGTCATCCACCAGAGATAGGTGTTGAAGACAATTATATCAGCTCCTTTCCAGTGTCTTCCATGCTTATTAATGGAACCTCTTCTCACTATTCTATCAGATATCCTATGTACCACTGCATCATCTGAGTTTGATTCCAGAAGGAATGGTGCCCAGTAGAATTCAATTGTTGCATTGTATTCCTAATTTTACACCCACACACACACACGCAAAATAAGTAAAGGAAGAAGAAGAAGATTTCCACATATCAAGACATTGTACTTGAAGCCCCTAAACTGTGCAAATTAAGCCTCTAAACTAAATTTGCATTCAAAAGTTTTGAACTTCCCAAATTAGTTCAATTTAGCCTTTTGACAATTAATTATATATCATATATGTCCAAATTAAAGCATATATTGATAAAATTGACACTAAACCTTTTCCCTATTATTAAAACCTCATAAATCTGCGTTGGTAAAGGAAATGGTGTTCAGTATGTTTGGTTTGAGTTTTTTGAATTAAGTTTTTTAAAAATTGAGTTTTTTGATATTTGTATTTTTTTGTTTTTAGTGAATATTTTTAACATTTTAAACATTTTTTTTACTTTTTTAGATACACCTTATTTAGATGTGTCTAAAAAGTAAAAAAATTGTGAACAAATATTTTAAAAAATTAATAAATACATAAAAATATAAAAAATGTACTAAATTCTCGTATTTTTTTTGTACTTTTAGTATTTAGTGAATTTTTAAAAGGTTTTTTTCACAAATTTTTTACTTTTTAGGTATATTTATGTTAGGTATGTCTAAAAATTTTTTAAAAAAATTGCTTAAAATATTAAAAAAATTCAGTAAAAATAAAAAAAAACACAAAAAATAAGAAAGTAGAATTTTTTGAAAATTGTTTTTAAAAAATTCTAACCAAGCTAGTTTATTTATTTTTTTTTTTTTTAAGGAACAAAAATTATGGCTAATTTAGCAAAATTTACTCTTTAATTAGGTTTTATAAGTATAGGATCATCTGTCTCACTCTCTGTATCGTATATTTTTAATGATTGATTTTGATGATGTGATAATATGTAAATAATGTGGGATAGATGGGATAGAAAATAGAATAGATGATCCGTGCTCGGTCTCATATATAATGTATTTTACAGTCAAAAGTGAATAGAGAGAGAGAGAGAGAGTGAGTTGTAACATAATGTTACTAACCTTGGCTGTGAAAATGGTGAGGGAACCATTGGTTTTCATGGATTTGGATCCTTCAGGGATGAGTCTGTGTAGAAGACAGACCATGGAAACATATTGACCTCTGTTTAGAGAATCACCTACAAACATCATCCTCTTCCCTCGAAGTGTCTCCAACATTAATGTCGCATTGAAACTGTACATATCATTTCATTTGTCACATTAACATTAACATTAACATTAACATTAACAGATTTATCACCATTATTTTACTATTAAATTCAAATGCACTAAGTCTCATGCATAATTATTAATGTGGCTTCCATTACTCTACGTATGTAATAAAAAGTTCATTTATATATAACATTATTCTAGTATTTTATGAATTGCATGCTAATAAGATGGCGTCAAGGTCAAAAATTGGTGGCTGTTGATTGCTGGATGATGCATATTAGTTTTTATATTAAAAAGGGGGAGAAAATGCCATAGAATCTGCTAACAATATTGCATAGCATGCATTGATTTTTAACTAATAACAACGCTACACACTTAAAAAAATATTAAGAATAGTGTTAAAATATATTAACTAAATTAATCTGAATATGATATGATCCATATATGTCACATCACGTTTAAATCTACATCATAAATCTTATTTTGTGGATTTTTTTATAACTATTTTTTGAGTAAGCTTATTGATTTCTAGCTGTACATCTCATCCATTATTGTTTCAGGGTTGGTTTTGAAACAATAATAGAAAACTAGTTTCATAGCACCAAACAATGTTTGACTACTATATTATTGGAAAATCCGCACATATCATATACACCTTATTACAAATTGAAATGATTTTATTATAAAATTTTATAATATTAATTATAAAATGTATAATTTCATCATAAATTGGTATAATAAAAAAATGTCATAACCAAGTTAAAAAATTTTGTAATATCAACTACCAAATTTTTGACATTGTGATATGTTAATTTGTGACGAGATTACACATTTTGTTATTAATATTATAAAATCTTGTAATAAAATTATTACACCAATTTATAATAGGGTGTCTATGGTATGCACTCCCAAGGGATGTACATCGCACGCTTTCCCTATTTTATTTTTAAAAAGTTATATTAAAAGATTGAGGTTAGTAGAACTAACCCATCCGTTAGGTTAAGAATAGCTGAAATCAAGAAATTTGAGATTTGAGTGAACATAAAGTCAGCAAAATGCACAATTCTGAACCTAACCCATTACTTCAAGTAGCTGGAAGTTCACAACCTTCCATCAATATTGAGTACCATGATTGAATGGTGTGTCCCAACAATGGAGGCTAATTAAGATTTGTTTAAGTCATACAAAAGCACCAATATAACGGTCGAATTCATTTATCTAGAGGCTGAATGTTCCAATTATTTTCAGTTTATCCCAAACATTCTAGCACCTAATTGAAACATGCTAAAAAATAAAAATAAAAAGGAATAGATTTCCAATTGGATGCACAATTGGAGAGGTATTGTTAGGTCTTGGTAGGTCCATTGAGAAGGTTATGTCAATAATCTAAATTATTAATTTTATATAATTCACTTAGTAGAATATTTGTTGAAAAAAATCAAATTATATTTCATTTGTTTTAAAAAAAGAAAAGAAAATTGACCCAAACATTTCATTTTTTTAAGACAAATGTAACATCATCATATAATTACTATGCTCAATCAAATGAATTTTTACATTGATGATCTTCTCAACCGATCTTATAAGATGAACGAATACCTCTCCAGATAAATGTCAGATTCATCTAAAATATAAATCATACTTCACCAAATTTCAATCTACACCTAAATTCTAAACATTTAATTATATATTTTTCCTGAGTAGAAAGAATCATCCCTTCAAAATAAAAAAAACCGCAGGTTCAACTCTATGTTTGGGAATTTTGTCCAACTATATATTCCTGTTTAAAAAAATAATAATAATTTGCTCATATATATAAAATTAAAAAAATCATGCATGCACGACATTCAAGTGCAGCCGTTGAACTAACGTGATTAGTAAAGTTTATATTTTTTAAAAAGAAATAAATAAATCAGATTAGTTATAAATTTTAATGACTAGAATCATAAATCTTTTCATAAGTAATTATTTTGAAGATATAAGCTGTGTATTGCAATTGACGGTTATCAGTGTGCCGATCATTTATCTAATAGAAAGAAATGGAAAAGACACACAATCTCTACATATGTTAAAAACAATAAAAACAATCAAACCAAAAATAATATTTCTAAGGATGTGCAACATATTATTTTCCTTAATCTAAACATATGGATTAATTGTTGTATGATTCAAATTTCCGACTAGAAATAAAAAAAAAAAACATGCATACCTCGGAAGAGAACATCCGTGAGGCTGCCATCTCCACAACCGGTAGTCCTTGTCAGGCCGACCGTGTTCCTGACATGTCAGCTGCGGCTGTATATAAGGACACTCCGATTCCTCGTAAAGCGGCCGATTCTCCTCATCCCAAACCCACTTGCCACTGAACACGTCACACCTTTCGTTTTCCCGTCCCACGGAAAACGGCAACTTCACCTTCTTCTTCCCTAACAAAACCCAAAAACAACAGTTGTGTGATCGGTTTCTGTGTTATTTGAAAATGGAAAATTAAAATGAAAAGGCGGGTTCACTCACCAGTGCCGCGACTAGTTTTTGTGATGGGTAGGTTAGAGGTGTAATTGAGTTGGGAGAAGAGGCAGGAGAAGTCTTCGCTGTAGAGGATGGTGACGAAGACGATGAAGGCGAATAAAGTGAAGAGGTAGTAAGGAGAGAGACGGGCTTTTCGAAGGAGGGACGAGGACGGAGATGAAGAGGAAGAGAGAGGTGTCTTCATCTGTTGTTAGATCGAATTAAGGTTTGTCATGGAATGAAACACACAAAGCTTATGAGAGGTGTTGTAAACATGTGCAGTTGTGTGGTAGAATAAATACAGCTCCACTAATAATAATATTGGTCGGACAAGTAAATGAAATGCCATTTTTTAAAAACAGAATACATTTTGATTACCTTTTAACCGTGTGATTTTAATTGCCTTTTGAGATTAATTTAGGAATGGCAATGGGGTGAATTAGTGGGTACCCATCCCCAACCCATCCCCTGTGGATATTTAAAGAATATCACCTACCCTACCCAATGGATTAAAAAAAGAGGGGAAAACCCATGTATTTGGGTTGGGTCTCCATAGATACCCACAGGGTAGGTTATCCATTTGCCTTTTGAGATTAATTGAAGAAATAAAATGAATTTGTCTGGCCGTCCTCCATGCTAATGTATGAAGATTTGTTGATTAGAGTTGAATTAGTTGTTTTTAAAATCTCCAATAGGTTTATTTATTTATTTTATTCATAGATGATTTTACAAATGAAGATAAAATACGACACATAATTGATATAAAGAAACTTTCAAAGTAGGAGGGAGAAATTCTAAGGAGGCAAATCCCTTCTAATCTAAAATCTGGACTGGATGGTGTTATTTCAACTCGTGAGGTCCATTACGAATTCTGTTTCGATGATTCAAATAGTTCATTTTATTAAACACTTCATGTGTATTTCATTCACAAAAAAAATTAGATCGATTTGATAATCCGAACATAATTAATTTATCACTTTTTTATCAAAAAAAAAATAGACAACAATTATGTTTTTACAAATTTTGGATTAGAAGAGATCCTTCTCCAAATTGTAATTAATATATAAGGAATAAAATCTACACAGAAGGGGTGAAATTCGAACTACTAACATTTAAGTGAAGTGTAGGGATTCTGGCATGTTATAATCTTAAAATGTTAAATTTTTATAACCAATAATAGTTCAAATGTTATTTTTTGATACACCCATTATATGATTCAATTTTCGCCATATAATGTAATCATGTGTGCCAAATTATATATTTTGAAAATGCCAAATTTTAATTGTCCGAAATTTAACACACCATTTATGCGTCTCTTTTGCGCTCCAATGTCAAATTTAAACTTTTTTCATTATAACACCTTCAATAGTTATTTTTCAAATCAAAGACGTGGAAATGAAAAGAAAAAAAAAATTCTATATATTATTTATTTTCTATTTAAATTTATAATCTAAAAATAATTATATATTTAGCCCCTCCCTGTAACTGTAGGAAGATTTGTTGATTTGAATTGAATTGAAGAGTTGTTTTTTCCACCTGATTTAGGTGCATAATGCAGAATTCTATACCTAAAAGGAAAAAGGGAAATAGAAATAACACCATATATATGTGCATGACAGCCGATCTTCTTCCCAATCCTACCTTGCCGGACTGATTGTGACCCTCTGATTTGATGACATATCAAAGTCCAATTTGATGATCGTTACTGTGAACAGTGTATTTTCATCATAACACCTGATCACAGCCTCTCTCTGTCATGAGAATTTATTGAGTGGTCTTGGGACACCATTACGTGGTATCCCAACGATGTTGTGATTAGAGGAAATGATGGGTTCACAATTTTGTATTTGGTGATTGAGAAATATAAGGGGCATGGTGAATTATGATTCGTATGAGGTATGGTCACTTGGCTCCAGGATCAATCAATAATTTTTGGAGAATTTTTTTTAAGGTTCCTGATATTAAGATTTTATAAGATAAATGACATACAATATTTTCATAATAGTTAAGGTCCTCAATATTTTCATAAAATATATTCGACTCAGAGAAATTTCGCCTGACTCAAAGAAATTTCGCCTATGACACAGAGAAATTTCAATTTTCATAAAGAAATTTCTCTGATTTCACAGAAAAATTTTGCCTGACTCAAAGAAATTTCAACCCCGACACAGAAATTTCAATTTTCACTTAGAGAAATTTCGAAACAGAGAAATCTTATTGAGAGACCTTAGTTAATAAAAAAACATCTTGGACCTCTCCTACTACACAAAGTTGGATAAGATATTTCACTAATTTTTCCATAATTTTTCCTGTGTCATACGGTAAATTGAATAATTTTTCAATTTTTTTTTTGGAAGAATTTCATGTCAGTGAGATTTTCAAAATTTAATTATAAAGTCATGAAAAAATTTATAATTTTACTTTTCAATATTTGTGATGTTTATTACTAAGTTGAAAATATTTTTTCGAATCTACTGAAGTGTAATTTTCCTCTCTTTTTTTTTTTTTGGTCTAATAAACTATTTTACAAATGATCTTTAGGGATTCAAATTGATATTGGGAGCACGATACAGGAACGTGATACAATTGTAAGTTTTTTTTATTATTTTTTTTATTTACAAAGTCAAGTTGAAAAAAAGAAAAAAAGGAAAGAAAAAAGACGCCAATCTTAAAGTTATGCTCATATAAAAGTATACATAAAAATTAATATGTAATTCAAATTCATTTTAGGTGTGACCAGATATTATTTCTGGTCACATCTAAAATGAGTTTAAATTACACATTAGTTACTATTTGCATAGAAATGGAATATAGGAAGAGTTTAAATTACACATTAGTTACTATTTGCATAGAAATGGAATATAGGAAGAGGAAGTGCAAAGAAAAGTAAGTATATATAAAAATTAATGTGTAGTCCAAATTCATTTTAGTTGTGATCTCTACCAATTGTAATCTCATTAGAGGGTAATTATTAAATACTCCCAGAGCACAATCTAATATTGCCTACGTTATGGTCCAATGATTTTTTATTGCAAGGTTTTTCTAGTATGTGGGTTACTAATGAATTTTTAACAATTAATCGTATTAAATTTTTTCGAGTAATTATATGCCACATTAAATTTTGAAAGAATCCTTTGTATATTGTCTTTTTCAAAAAATTTAGAATGTTAGATTGAATTTGAGGGCATTATATTGGGGGTAAAAAAAAAAAAAAAAAAAAAGAGAATTACCCATATAAAAGTGTGCTTCCTCAAAATTTTGCAAGGACCAAAACCCTTACCCACCTCCCTTAGCCCCTGCCACCACACTCAATAAATTTAGATTACACATAATTTTTATTTTATAAATATATACTTATGTACCTAATATTATTATTTTTGCAAAAGGCAAAAACTCAAAATACTCGTGACCAAGCCAATAGAGCCAAGAGCTCATTAATGATGAAGTGTAGTAGGTATGCATAATGCATGATGATTGTGAGGGAAGCTATTATGTCGCTTGGCTTCTAAGTTAAGGTTTGCAATAAATAAATAAATAAATAAAGATGGCAAATCATTTTCACCACTTTTTATAGCATAATTGCGAATGCATTCAAAAAAGTGAAGGAGTAATATATAAATTAAATAAAAGGGGTTTAGGTAGATTTGTGTATGATTTTTTTGGTGAAATTTCAACTTCATTTGGTTGGTATCATATGCATTCTTCTACTCTATTCATCAGTAGAAGAATGGAGCAGCTCAGAATCAGCTGAGTAACCAAATTTTTAATTGATTGATCAACTAAGATGATATAAAAAAAATATTTGATTGTTTTTTTCTTCCTTTCTTTGACAAACAGGTCATTATCTTTTAGTTTATTTGCAGGACAGAAACTGTACCAGTGATTATATACTTACATAATTGGAGAATTTTTTTTTAAAATCCCTGATATTAAGATTTTATAAGATAAAGGACATACAAAATTTTCATAATAGTTACCGTTTCTCAATATTTTTACAAAGAAAATTCGAATTAGAGAAATTTCATCCAACTTAAAAAAAAATTGTCTCCAACACCGAGAAATTTCAATTTTCACAGAGAAATTTCATTGAGCAATCTTAGCTAATAAAAAAAATATATTTTAGACCTCTCTTACTATACAAAGTTGGAAATAGATGTTTCGCTAATTTTCCCTGCATAATTTATAGGCATAATTTGTATAATTTATCTCTTATAATTTGGTACTTCTTGTTTTAATTGTATCAATTTTATAATCAATTTTTTCAGGGCCTAGCTTCCCTCTAGTCCCAGATCGAATTGAAGGCTGCTGTTGGGCTTGTGGGAGCCCACCATGGGTCCCATTTTGATAATCTGAACCGTTCAATGTGTAGAACTCATCAAATACTATATACTTGTAAAAAATCACATTGATCGGATATCGATAGCTATCTCATCGAATTAGTTTTCTGTCAACCATTTATTTTTTCACCGTCCATTATTTTTATATAAAACTGATTTGATCACATACCTATTGATATTCAATCAACATGATTTTTCAAATGTATAGTACTCGACGAGTTCTACACATTGAACGGTTCGGATTATCGAAACGGGACTCGTGGTGGGCCTCAATGGGCTCAACAGTACCCTCCAGTTCGATCTGGGACTAAAGGGAAGCCAGTGCCATTTTTTCACGGAGTTGGGATGCCTGCTGTGCACCCAGCACAGTAGGCACTGTTGTGCCGCCTTATGGGCTTATTTCGAGATCCGTTTTGATAATTTGAATCGTTTACGTTTTAGAGTACATCAAGTAGAACATACCTATAAAAAATTAAGTTAATTGGATATCGTTAACCCTTTCATCCACTCACATTTGTATCTTCAAAAATAAATGGCATTGTGATTTAAAGTATTAAAATGAATACAAATGTGTGTAGATGAAAGAGTTAACGATATCCGATTAACTTAATTTTTTATAGGTATATTATACTCGATGTACTCTAAAATACGAACTGTTTGTATTATCAAAACGAATCCCGAAATAAACCCATAAGGCGGTACAGCAATGCCTGCTTTGCTGGGTGCACATAGTGCAAATTTAGACTAAAATCAATAGGCAAAATATTCTCTAAATTGACATAATAGACAAATTACAGAAACCACAAGTGTAATTTGCCCATAATATATGTATATATATATAGAGAGAGAGAGAGAGAGTAATACAATACAAATAAAAGAACATATATATATCAATACAAAATGATGTGGCAAGCCCTCATCTTATTACTTTAAAACAAAAGACCCATCATCAGCTGACTTGGA